GTAAATAGTGAGCCTCAGTCACAGTAAAAACCCTGGTGTCAGAGTAAATAGTAGATCTCAGTCTCTATGAATCCCAAATGTCACATTAAATAGAGTTTTAGTCCAGCATTTCTCATCCTTTTTAGTACCACATTTCCTGCAGCCCACCACAGGAAACTATAGAAGTATAACACATATGGTAATGTTGTCAATCCTGTTGCTTTAACAGTAAATCAACTGATATTCGTCTTCCACCCGACCAATTTCAATAAAAAAATATACTGTAATTTCAACAGTAAATTAAGTGTAAGTTCTACACCTATTTATTAAACAATTTATAGTTAGCATTTTGCATGGCTTTGTGTACTCATTATTTGATTTCTGTAGTGCATATGAGTGTATAGAAGACATATTAATACTAGAAACAAACGACCTTATAACGGTTTGTGTTTTAGTTAATGCTGTAAAGCAAAACATCGAGTGTCTAATTAAATAAAAACAACATTTTGGTGTTATAAGGTCATTTATTTCAAGTATTAATAAGACTTTATGTAGTTTGCATTATACTTTTTTGTTTTGCAACATTTATAAATTATTGTCATCTAATCTTAAGCCTTTTCGTATCCCACCTCAAACTGCTTTGCAGCCCATTAGTGGACCACAACCCGCCATTTAATAAACACTGTTTTAGTCTTTGAATACCAGAAGAAAGTTTGAATATGTGAAAAATTTACTAATCTCATGGCATTGATCATCAGAGAAAATAGATGTGTAACGGAATAGTAAAAATGATACATGTAATTTACTAATTTAGTAAAACTACACAAACAAAATAAATTATTACAAACAACCCTTATTTTGACTACTTATTACCTCAACGTTAAACTTGCACAACACACTGTAGTTCATGTATCTTTTTATTACAATTCTCTAATTCCAAAATCAAAACATAAGTGATTTCAAACACACACACATCTCCTTACATTCACCCACCCCTGTATCATCAGGTAGTCTGTATCCATTCTGTTCAACACCAACTTTGGAGCCTTTGCATCCTATACTCGTCTTTATCACCACCAGTTTATCTCTAACGGCAAAATCCAGCTGTTGTTCCAGTTCATTTCCTTTTAAGTTGTACTTACGTCGCATGTAGCTAGATATACGATTAAAGTTGGGGATTTGTTTCTGTTGCCTGATGTATAAAATAGCCTCCCAGATGTGTTGTACAGTCTGTGGGCAGGCCACTCGTTTCTTCACGATTTTCATCGCTGATGTTAAACTGTTTGCAACACAGAGAAAATGCCAACGGCAACAATATAATAAGATACGGTGGCAAACTACACATATTACAAAAAATGTTTTACACTTACAATTAGAACACAGCTATTTTTTTCATTTGTACTTACTAAAGGATATGTAACTGTCAGCAAGATTCCTCTGTAAAAACTAATCGTTGACACGAGAAAAGTGAAATACTGAAAGAAACTAAGATACCAGTTAAACATTTTCTATCTCAAAAATTTAGTTTTATGTATGCAGTTTCAACATGTCTAAGTTATATACTTTAAAATTTACATTAGCATCAAAATCTCATTAGAATTCCCACATGACCCCTCCAAGACTTACCTTAATCGACCAGAAATACTTGTTCTAGGCATCATTAAGTTAGCAAAATGGTACATGTTTCTTTTAAAATAATTATAAAGTTATTGTCTTTCTCTGGAATTACTATATAATAAAATGAAATACAAGTTATAACATCTAATCTAAAATGTCATTTGAACTTAATAACTAAGCCTAATTCACTCCAAACTCACCATCATTACACCTAATGCATATCTTTAACCAAAAGTTTTAAAATTTTGCCACTTCTTCATTAACACAAGGTATTAAAATAACAGGTACAACATCTAGTCATATGTCCTTCACATCTCCTCCCACTCATGGGTGGCTGCAAGGTGGGTGGGGGGCAAAAAATGAGAAACATAATTATTTCTTTATTCATTCAGCATATGTATTTAATTTTTTTATTCAATTCACAATTTCACACTACTCCCCCCCTGGAAAACTCTGCCCCTCCCTTGAAATATTTTGCAGACACCCATGCCCCCACTTGAAAACTTGTGCATGTAAAATGTCCCACAGTTTGATGTACATGGTGAACAGATTTTAAAACCATAAAGGACACACTCAGATTTTGGGGGAAATATTTACAAGTAAAAGCGATGTTTTTACTTACAGATACCTCACTCACGAGCAACTTTTTATTGACCAGGAGTTTGTTGTGAAACTCTAGGCAACGAGTTCACACTTGAGTTACTGTAAATAAATGATTCACGACTTGAAAATAGCACATTGGCTGTAAACAGCTCCAGCCTCTCTTTACTTTGGCAGGTGCCAAATTACATGACATCATGCACTCGGCTGCAGCCTGCCTTATAGCCAGTGTCCTCAAATCTTATTCACTAATACATATTTTGTTGATAGTTCAAAACAAGAATCTAAAGAAATTTTGAGTTTTAAAAATATATAGATAAAAGGATTGCAGTCACTACTTTAAAATTTTATTTGACTTAAAATAGGGATAATGAAAAACATAATTAATCATTTATTTTTTTAATTATCCGTGTTTTTAGATAATTGTAGTTTTAAATGAAGTTTCTTATTGTAATGGGTAAATGTTTGAAATGCTGTATACCACTGTAGGCCTAAAAGAACACCTGTAGACAGCAGATTTTAGCAGCAAATTGAAACAAAAGTAAACAACACGAGTCAAATACAAAAAGGTGGGATTATTTAGATAGAAACACTGTGATGTTAGAAAAATCACTTTAATTGTACTTGAAGAAAGAGAAGTAAACAACACGAGTCAAATACAAAAAGGTGGGATTATTTAGATAGAAACACTGTGATGTTAGAAAAATCACTTTAATTGTACTTGAAGAAAGAGAAGTAAACAAAGTTATTATTCAGTGATGTGTCATGATAAGCTGTGGATGATTAATGGATTACATGGAATATAAAACGGACTTCTTTTAAGTATTACGTGTCACCTAGTTTGTGATATTTTCATATGTGCACCTCATTAAAATTCAAGGTTATTCATATTGTGAGTTAAAAGATGTAATTATAGAAATCACTTGTTAGGCCTCACAAGAATCGTGTATACAATTTTGTTTTTCTTATCTTATTGGAAATTGTCCAGAAGAGAAATACTAGGATGATTCCAGGGTTGTCTTACAGAGATAGGTTAAGATCTATTTTCTCTTGTGATAAGAAGTTACACTGACAGAGCTATTTAATGGGCTTTCATGATCACTAGATGTTCTGGAAGATTACTGAAATTACTGGTGTCAGGTTTCAACATAGAAGGAACGAATCAGTGATAGTGCGTGAAACAAACAAGTGTTTGTATGCTTGTAAGTTCTATTCTTACTTTCATTAAGAGTACTGGTTAAGATGTTTAAAATGTATGTAATACGTATTTTAATTATTTTTCATATTATATATGTATGTATATATTTTTATGACAAAGATTATTTTACAAGTTAGCTTACTATGTAACAGGAAAATACAAAATGCCATGACAACCAAGGTTGAAATTAAACTGTAACAACAACAGAAATCCAAATAAAAACTTTCAAACAATTGGAATATAGGTTTTATCACTTACATAAAAATAGTTACTAAATCCATGCCTGGCCAGGACTTGATACAAATCTTACTAAACAATACAACAATGTTATTAATTACACTAATTAAAGGAACTGGGAATAAGAACCAGAAAAAGAGAATACCTAAATAAGTCTATATTTCCCAAGTTGGCTAAGGCTTGAAATATTATTGAAATTATAACCAAAAATATTAATAAAAGTGACAGTGGCCAACTGATGAATTAATGCATTCTTATCATTATAAGTAAGAATAGTATATTAAGTTAGCTACATTCATTACTGGGTTAATTTTTAGTTGTGATCTAAGTGTATGTAGCTTGTTTTCACTAGAAGTAAATGATAATAAGAGATCATAACGTTTTGATGTGGTTACATTACCAATCAGGAAAGGATCATAAAGTTTTGATATGGTTAAATCACCAATCAGGAAAGGATCATAAAGTTTTGATGTGGTTAAATCACCAATCAGGAAAGGATCATAAAGTTTTGATATGGTTAAATCACCAATCAGGAAAGGATCATAAAGTTTTGATGTGGTTAAATCACCAATCAGGAAAGGATCATAAAGTTTTTGATATCGTTAAATCACCAATCAGGAAAGGATCATAAAGTTTTGATGTGGTTAAATCACCAATCAGGAAAGGATCATAAAGTTTTTGATATCGTTAAATCACCAATCAGGAAAGGATCATAAAGTTTTGATGTGGTTAAATCACCAATCAGGAAAGGATCATAAAGTTTTTGATATCGTTAAATCA